GGGTGTGCTCTGGTACGCCGATGTCGCGTGCCACAGCGGCTTTGTGATTCACCATTGTGAACACGCGTGCGTGCGTGAGTGAGTGCGTGCGTGCGTGCGTGCGCGTGCGCGCGCGCGCATGCGTGTGCATGTACAAAGGGCCATTCTAATCTTTTCAGGTTGATAATTTGAAAAAGGTGCATTTTGGGGAAAAATATTTATACAGACAAAAGTTTTGTGACTTCGAAGAGGATATAAGGTCATATTATTGGTTTAATCTTGGGTGGCATTGTCAGGGCAAGGTCACTTTGAATTTTTTAAATAGGATCCCTAATTTTTCATTGCATCTTATACTTTACCTTGAGAGTTTTTCAAAATACTATAAAAAAATATTTTTTTATTAAGTGCTTTGCGAGTTATAAAGCTTGAAAGTTACGGCACCGCCGGCATTAACAAGGTGTTATCCAAGGTGTTCGATGGCTAAAATCTCTTAAATGTTGTTCAGCATCACGATCTGGATAGCATTTATCAAGATCAAAGTCATAGAAGTTGTCCTTCTTATTTTCATTTTTACGTAAAAATGGATTTTTAGTGCAAAAATGAAAATAAGAGGTACAATCTTCAATGACCTTGATCTTGACAAATATTATCCAGGTCATGATCCTGAACAATATTCAAAAGCTTTTAGCCATTGGTCGGACACCTTGAGTAATGCTAATGCCTTGCAATGCTATCTTTCAAGCTGTATAATTCACAAAGCACTTAAGGCCCCTGACTAGTCAGCGATTCAAAATCAATCGGCGGCCTGGCAAAATGTGGCGAAATCGATAACTTCACACACAAGCATGAGCCCATGTGCTCTCGGCACGCCAAAAGCGAGCACATGTATATGAGCTCGTGCTTATGTGTGTGTTATGCGAGTACCTCGCCGCGATAAATGACTGAACTTATAGATATGGAAAAGTGACGTTTTGACGACGAAATTTATGCTGCAAGCCATTTCGTTATTATTTGCTTAAATGTGACGTGTCTCGTACTAATGAATATCATAAAAATGGACAGAAATATAATTATCCTGGAATTTTATACGTAAAAGCGTATATATTTCATTCATTTCAACAACTATTCAAACTGTATGTTTCTGCCCGAAATTAGGCTCACTTTATCTGCCTTTTACAACCATTCATTAACTATTAAGGGAGAAAAGAACAGTTTCTGCCCATTTTTGCAGCTATTTTAAAGCAATCTCGTCATTTAGATTTATACAAATTGTCTTTACAAATGGCTTGCAGCATAAATTAACGTCATTCCTCACTTCTGACGTCACGATTCCAACATGACTGCCACGACTAGTTAGGAGCCTTAATGAAAAAATATTTTATTGTTTAATATATTATATGTGTTTTGAAAAGCTCTCGAGGCAAGCTACAAGAATATGCAATGAAAAATTAAGGATTCCATTAAAAAAATTCAAATTGGGTCATATGTAAGCGAACAACAGAATTGATAATTTTTATGAACGATCTACAGCTTTGTGCTTGTATCATTTAATCTAGTAATTATATTGATAACAAGGCAAATTCAAGGATTGTAATGATCTATGCGGTTTGACATTTAATTCGTCTATTATAAAAATCTATTATGAAAATATCCTAGGCAACAAAATCTTATGACATCTACAATGCAAGATACATACATGTTTGCATTTTATTTAATATGTTTGCATGATTTAAGATCTCTAAGTTAATTTAATTTTAATTAGCGATATTGAGAAGGATCCGAAGTAAGATTGAAACGTTTATCTTTGTACTTTAATAGTCATGGAATAAATTTATCACACATGTGCATCCAGTGTTCGGCTCTCATTAGGCATTATGATTATTTGAAAAAATTCAAAATGACTTTGATAATGCCACCCAAAGTTAAACCAATGATACCGTCTTATGTCCCTCTCAAAGTTACAAAACTTTTATCTGAAACATTTTTCCCTGAAATGCACCCTTTTCGAGTTATCAGTATGGAAAGATTAAAATGGCCTACCCTGTATATATTAAGTGTAGTAAAAAGAAATCCATTATTTTTCCAATAGATGGCTTTAGTAATCTGTATCTCGTCTACGCGTGATACAGATTACTAAAGCTATCTATTGGAAAAATAATGGATTTCTTTTTATTACACCTAATATATAGTCTCTTCCTTATTATTTAGTTGCAGTTTTATTTCATTATTCTATATACAGGGTATTTGGAAAATAATGATAAATCTTTCGCAAAGGGGTAGAATAGATTAAACTGAGAAGAAAAGTCCTCTGCCATTTTTACAATTTTCGCAATAGATACACAATATATTGCTAAAAATTATCGAAAAGTGGTCTTCAATAATTTTTTACTCAAATACTACCAACTTTACAGAAAAAAACTGCAAGAGACAAAAATTGTTTATTTTCTTTTCATAGATCTCTAAGAGTTTTTTTAGAATTTTTTCAGAATTTTTTAATACCGTATTTTCTCATGATGGTTGATAAAAATTAGAAAATGCAGTACTAAAAAATTGATAAAAAATTCGTAGTTCTATGAGAAGAAAACAAACAATTTTCACCTCTTGCAATTTTTTTGTAAAGTTAATAGTATTTGAGTAAAAAATTAATGAAGATCAATTTTCGGCAACTTTTAACAATTAATATCTTGTTAACTATTGCGAAAATTGCAACATGGTAAAGGACTTTTCTTCTCAATTTAGTCCATTCTGCTCTTATGAGAAAGATTTATCATTACTTTCCAAACCTTGTATGTTATAATATTTCCTTTCCATTGCTTAGGTCAATGAAATATAATTAAAATTTTTAATTATTTACTTACTGACTGTAATTGTTCCCTACTACCAGGTTGACTCCAGCCGTTATCTTCATCATTGTTAATGTTACTACTATGTTGTTGATGAAATATATGAAGATTTGCTCCACCATCTGAAGCTCTTCTACCAAAACCTCCAGCTGTAAATATATATGGTAAAGTAATAATACATTTTTACACTAATCAATGCAAATAAATCAAAATTTTTTATATAAAATTGATCTAGTAAAATAAAGTTAATTTTAATGTACAAAATGCCTCATTTTGACATACAGGGTCCATTATGAAAGTAATGCGCATGACTTTATTGTGACGCGAATATCCATCGCAGCGGGGTAAAATGAGTCGGGAAATGTGATGGGGGGGTCTGCCCTTCCAAGGCAGCCGGTCGCCAGTTTGCTCCGAGCAGTCTG